CACCCCGCGCCCGCCCTCACCCAGTCCGGCGTAGGGGCAGGGGGCGGTGGGCTGCCAGGCGGGAGGAGCAGGCCGGCCCAAGTCCCCCGTGCTGGGCCTACGTGACTGTCCCCTCTCCACGCCCCCGCAGGAAATGCATTGTACTCCAACGTCCTGTACCAGCCCCGCAGGGCCCCAAAGAAGACCGAGGCCTGGGCTGGCCAGCGGAAGGTGCTGGACGCCCGCGGTGAGGACCAGACAGGCCCGAGCGCCTATTCAGACTCTCTCCCGCAGCCGGGGGCCTGCCAGCCACGTCCAGATCGCATCCTGGCTCTCTCCTGACCCAGGCCCCTCAGGGCAGCCAAGGGCATCCCCTAAACTGAGGGGGACGCCGAGGGCCCTGGGGGCGCCGAGCAGTGGCTGTGAGAAGGCGGAACTGCTTGGGGAGCGGCGGGGACTCATTTCTAGGCCCTGGATGGCCTGTCACCTCCGGACACTCAATAAAGGCTGGCGGACAGAGCAGTGAGAGCTTGCTGTGACTGGGCATGCTCGAGGGCCCTGGGGGTCACCTGTGGGTCCCAGTGCCTCCAGGGGTGGCCCACTGTGGCTGGGGCTCCTCCTGTCCCTTTCCTTTTAGAGATGTGACTGGGGACAGGGAAGAGCTGCCCCAGCCTCCAAGCAGTGCCCTGCGCTGGAAGACCCCCGGCCCAGCTGGTGTCTGCCCAGGGCAAGCCGGGCTGGAGGGGGGGATGCCAGGACCTCCTGGCACCTGAAAAGGACACGTGACAATAACTTGATTCTGCAGGCTGGGTCAGGCCTCTGAGACAGGCCTGGACCCCGGGAACCAGGACTCTGCAGAGAAGCCGGGTCCCAGGTAGACCCAGGGTCAGGACAAGTAGGATGTCTCTCTGTCCATCTGTCCCTCCTAGTCTCCCGCCCGACTGTCACCTTGAAGACGCCAGCTGGGCCTGGCTCCCCTCCCCCACTCATGCTGTTTCCATGGGGACAGATGTCCTTTCTGCCCATCAGGCCCCGCTGCAGAGGAGGCTGGGGGCGGGGCCGGCCGGAGGGTCCATCTTGGTGGGGGGGGCTTCTCCTGCCCCTCCGCCTGATCGCGTCTCCCCGGCCCTGTCTCTAGCTCCAGGTGCGCGAGACTGAGGCTCCCGACTCCACTCCGTCGCCCAGAGCGAGCTGGGGCACTCTTGTCCCTACAAAGGTCTCAGCTTCCCGTCGGGCTGATGCCTGGGGACGGCTCCCAGGGCCCTGCCGGACACTCGCGGTGGCCACTTTTCCAGGGGGGACCAGGCCTGAGGGCTGAAGGTCCCCCTCTCCTGCAGCCCAGAAAGCACGCCGGAGGCTGACAATAACTTATTTATTTGCAGGCCAGTGATCCCAGATCCTGGAGGGGTGCAGGGGCTGGAGGGGCGGGGAGTCGGTCCTCGGTCCTCCCGGCGCGCGCGGCGGTAGGTCAGGGCGCGGGGCAGGGAGCCTGCGCGGCCACCGGGTAGAGCAGGGCCAGGTGCTCGGCGCCCTGCACCGGCAGGGGGCGCGAGCTGTAGTGCAGGACCAGCTCGGGCACGCTGGCGAAGGCGCCGCTGTGCTGGCCCAACACGAACTGGTTCTCTCGGGTCCGCGCGAACTTCAGGTGCAGGAAGCCCTGGCTGCTCCTGGGAGTGGGGATCGGGGGAGCCCTGAGCACCCCACGCCCACCCTCGCCCCCAGCCCCAGAGCCCCCGCGTCCTGGGGGCCATCTTCGGGCCCTCCAAGGGTGGTTCCGGTGCCTTCTCAGGCTGCTCCCTATGAGGTGGGCTGGAGTCTGGGAGCTCCCCACCCCCAAACCAGAACCGGACCTCTCTCACCCCAGAGCACACCTGGCTGACTGTGGCCTCCAACGGTTTCCTGCCCCCCCTCAAGCCCTGTCCTCACCCCAGCCATGGGGCATGGCAGAACTCCTCCCAAACCCTGGGGCAGCTCAGGACACCCCGAAAGGCAATGCTTTCCACCCTGCACACACTTTTCCTTGATTTCCTCCCAGCTCAGCTCGGATGTCACCTCCTCCAGGAGGCCTCCCTGGGTTGCACTGTCTGATTCTCACGGTTTCGGTTTGGTCTTGGCCCTTATCGCTATCAGAAATAACACTGTCTGTCAAAGCGCAGCTACCAACAGCAGATGCTTGGTAAACACATATTCAAGGAGGGGATGAGCCTAGCGGGGTGCCCAGGGCTCCTGTGGGCATCCTCAGACCGTCCCAATCTCTACACTCCCTGACCCCTTGTAAGACCTCTCCTGGGGTGCCCTAGTGAACCCCTTTCCTCTGACTTTGGCGGGCAGCAGGACCTAGAACCTCGGACTGCAGGGTGTGTGATGACGTGAATTAAGCACTTCCTGTCGCCCAGGCCTGCCCGTTCCTCACCTGTCATTTAATCATCACAGGACCATCGGGAAGGTGACTACCTTGTCCTCACGGCACGGGTGAGGACACGGGCCCAGAGAGGGTGAGCTCGCTCGCTAAGGTCCCACAGCTGGGAGCAGCGGTCAGGATCTGCCCCTGCCCCAAAGCCCTTCTCATCCTTTCCTTTAAATCTCGAGCCCAGCTGTCTGGTACAGACCTTTGGAGTCTTAATAGTCAGATACTCCTCCATTCCCCTCTCGGGATCTTGGGCATGCACGCACACGCGCCCGGCGTGAGTTTAAGCCACCGGATCCAGGACTCGAACTGCGGCTGACTACATGGGAGTCCAGCGACATAGCCATTAGGCCAACTGCTGGTCCCACACCGTGTGAGTTTTAAGCCCCCAGGTCCAGGACTTGAACCATGGTCAACTATGTGGGAGTCCCATGACCTAACCATTACGCCATCTGCTGTCCCAGGGAACTTTTAAACTTTTCGTTCTCATCTGCCCCAAGACCTGGATCTCCTGTACGGCTCCCACTTCCTCCTGCATACGTCCTATGACCGGGCGCTCACTTCCAGAAGGACCACGCCGGTGGTCCCCCCTTCCCGGTCCTAGGAGCCCCAGTCACTAGCTACGGGAGCCACATCCCTGTGCTGGCACGGAGTTAACCCGGAAGGTGCCCGTGCGTCCTGTGTCCCTCCGTGCCGGGCTGGGCTCTCACCTGAGGGACAGGGAGCAGTCCTGGGGGCTGGTCTCACTGAGCCGCACGAGGTAACTGCTCTCCTTGCAGAGGGACAACAGGTTCTCAGCGTCTGCCCGGCTCAGCTGGCCATGAAACCACCTAGGAGTGGGGGGAATCTCATGAAAGCCACCAGTCCCTGCAAACCCACCCCGGGTGGGCTAGCACCACGCCCAGGGCTTGTGACCCGAAGTCCACAGCGCCGGACAGCCAAACAGGCCCGGCCCAGGTTGGCCCAGGTGGGTATCGGAAGAACACGGAGACCAGAGGCCTTTGCCCCCGCCTCGCTTTGCAATGGCGTCCGCCTAAACGAGCAGGTTTGGGAAGGGCGGTGACAGCACTGCCCGGGCTCTGGGGACGTGGAGAGTCCCGGGAGGAGCCCCCAGGCTGCAGGGCTCAAAGGGGGCTCAGCATCTCCCAGCTCGTTGCCCCCGCCACCGCCCCGCCTGCAGCTCCTGGTCCCAACATTTCCTGGAGGGGGGAAATTATTTCTGTCTTCGCTCTCGAGCTCCTAGCCCACAGCCCGGCGAGGGAGGACATTCCCGTGGGGGTTTTGAACCTGAGACTCAGAGAGGTTAAGGGACTCTCCCGGGGCCAACAGCCCGCAGATGCAGAACCTGGACTGGGACCCAGACCCTGGAGCCCAGGGAAAGGGAACCGGATTCTGGCTGATGGCAGCGGGTGTCTGGCACGCAGCCGGCTCTGGCGCCAGGGGGAGACAAGAATGCGCGAGGGGGTGCGTCGAAGCACGCCCGCCCCCGGGGGGAAGGACGAACTTGGCCCTGCTAAGCCAGAGCCTACAGCAGACGCGAGGGGCCCTCCCCTTCGCCACTCACGGTTGTTTCTCCAAGGGCAGGGCTGGGTCCACGCGCTCCGCGGGCTGGGGGCTTCTGGGCGGGGGTCTCCGGAGCTCCTTGGCTGCGCCTGGCGTCCTCTCCCACTCCGGACTGTCAAACTGCACTGGAGGGAGCGTTAGAGAGCCAAGGGTGAAGCCCAGCCCACCGCGTGGGCGTGGGGCACGGGCGGCCAATGGGGGTTCAGCGGGGAGGCGGGACCGGTTTCGGGCAACCTATCAGAGCCACGGGTGGGCGGGGCTGGATTGGCACAGGAGCAACCCATTAGCCTCCAAAAGAAAGGGGCTTGGGTTTCAGCAGGTGCTTGACGTTAAACACCTTAATTTTTTTTGGAGAGGTTTTTGCTATAGGGCGCATGCGCTTGACAGACAGAGAAAGACAGAGAGACAGAAGGCTAGAAATCACCCCCGAGGGGGGAATGACCACGCCGCAATCCCTTCCCCTCCATTCTCCTCTCGGGATCTTGGGCACACTCGCACACGCGCCCGGCGTGAGTTTTAAGCCACCGGGTCCGGGACGCGAACTGTGGTGGACTACATGGGAGTCCAGCGACATAGCCATTACGCTAACTGCTGGTCCCAAACACCTTAATTATCAAGCCAGGTCCAGGACTTGAACCGGGGTCAGTCATGTGGGAGCCCTAAAGTATTTCATTTTTTATAGCAGGCATTATCTCTTTTTTGGAAGCGAAGACTAGGGTTCAGAGATGTGACGGAGCTTCCCCAAATTCAGCTAGAGATTGCCCTGGCTGGTGGCTACTAAGAAATCTGCCCCGGGCGCGTGTGCGTGCGTGCCCAAGATGCTGAGAGGAGAATGGAGGAGAAGGGATTGCGGCATGGCCATCCCCCGGGGGGGGGGGGGTT